CAGGATCGCAAGCTAGTTTTGGAGTTCTGCCACCTGCTAGAGAAGTCCAAGCAGCTCTTCAACGGGCTCAGGTGAGTGGTACATACACAAAGTATCTTTTATGATGGTATCTAATGCTATATATCTGCAGGGATCTGCCTCAGTATGGCCATCGGCAGTGGCAAGCCTACTTCGGCCGCACCTTCGATGTCTACACCAAGTTGTGGAAGTTCCAGCAGCAACATCGCATGGTACTGGACTCCAAGTATGGCCTGAAGCGCTGGCAGATCGGCGAAATAGCAAGCAAGATTGGCCAGCTCTATTATCACTATTAGTAAGTGTGATGGCATACAAACTGTGAAGGAGTTCTAACATATGAATCCATCTTCTGTAGCTTAAGAACCAGCGAAACCAACTACCTGAACGAGGCGTATCAGTTCTATGCGGCAATTAGGGGTCGGGCCTACTACTCGCGGGCGGCCAAGGAGGATCGACCAGATCTGATGGTGAAAAAGCTGCGCTACTATGCCCGATTCATTGTGGTGTGCCTGCTGCTCAAGAAGATGAAGCTGGTGCGGGAGCTGGTCACCGAGCTGGAAAAACAAATACAGGAGTACACCAACACGTAATTACTTGGTGGCCCATTTTTGATTCCGTATTAATCCCCAGATTTCCCCGCAGCTACGAGCCGGAGGATCATCTGGAGTGGTCGCTGGTGCTCGAGGAGATCAAGGGCTTCATCAAGGCGGAGGCGGCGGTGGCCGTCCTGCACGCCGACTCCAATCCCATCATCCTGTCGCACAGGTGAGTCGTTGGCACAGCCTCTGTCCGTACCACGCGTATCTGCCCGTGCTTTCGTCGACGGAGGAGGAGTTTGGACAGCTTGTGGGTGGCCAAGTGTATAGCCTCTATCTGTCCGCATATGCCTATATGTACATATGCCCTGTTCTGTTTGCGTAGGTATACGAGTTTTGCTTGAGTTCCGTTGCCGTTGATTATGTTCATTTGTTGTGCTTATCACAGAAGACTTGAAACACCAAAGAACACTCACCGTTGTCATTTTGTCACGCACTTTAACCATGATCTCTGTCCCAAAAACACCCGTCGAACCAATCACAATTTCCAGGTGTGGCAACGAAACTGTTCGATAGTAAAGGGAGTGTCTATTTATTATTAAACCAAAATGCATAAGTATCTAGATACTTTCCCTAAGTTTCCCCGCAGTTTCATTGCCGAACCGCACACACACTCCACAAGATGTTATCATTTCATTATCATTTGGTCCACGATCCCGCCGAGAAAACGAAACACTCCCGCTCCCGTACCCTTGTCACCTCATTAGTGCGCCGCATTCTCAATTCTTCTGTGAAAGCACGGGCCCCGCCATCCGCCTGAGGACGAGTGCGACTACCCTGACTGATGTGTCCAGTGGTTCCGGTTCTAGGTTGTCGCCGCTGACGACGCCGCCCTGCGAGCGTTCGCCGCACATGACGCTCAGCCTGCAGGAGATCCTGATCGTGGGCTCCGCCTGCGAGCAGGCCAAGTTCTCGGAACTGACCATGGACATGTTCCGGATGCTGCAGACGCTGGAGCGCGAGCCCACGGAGTCCACCACGAATCCACTGAGCATGGCCCACGGACTCCACGGGCACGACGCGAGTCCGGCGGCCAGCCGTATACCGCCGTACGGAGTGCCGGGCTCCAAGGGCTACATGGAGAACGGGCGGGCCTTTCGAGACAATCCCCACAAGTATCTGCTGTACAAACCTTCGATAAGCCAGCTGCTGGTGTTCCTCGCCAGCGGCTCCAAGGAGCTGCCGCTGGGCGGTGCCCTGCTCCTCTACATGTCCGCCGATGGCTGCTTCTCCACCACCAAACATCCCGAGGATTGTGAGTACTTACCACCATTCCATGGATGCTGTTAGCTATAGTAATCATTTCACTGCTTCCAGTTGGCTACGAGCTGGGCGGCCTGGCCACCAGCGTGAAGCGGGACAGTGTGGATGGCGGTGGGCTGTCCTGCCGTGGAAAATCGTACAAGGAGAACCACTGCCTATATCCGGGTGATCTGTATCCGTTCACACGCCGGCCAATGTTCGTTGTGATCGACTCGGACAACTCGTTTGTCTTTCAGCACATACCGCGCTACTTTGGCCAGCCGCTGGTGGTGCTCATGTCCCCGCAGGATGTGCCGCCCGCATTCCAGGGTAGGATCTCTACCCTTAACCACCCGCTGGCCAAACACTTATATTCCTTTGGCTTCGTTTCAGCTGATGTCCAGCATCACGGCTCGCTGTTTACGTTGTTCCTGCACTCCCCGCTCACCGCCCTCTGCTACATCTGCAACGTTGGAGACGTGCCCATCCACCACTGGGAACGCTGCCAGACCTACGTGGATCGCTTCATCACGGAGGCCTCGCGCCTTGTCACCCGGTGTCGCATCGATGAGATCGAGCAGGGCATTGGATTCATAGGTGCGTTATCTGTCGGGTTATCAACTGTTGAGATACTTATCCTTCTTTTCAAGATAGAGATAGATATACGAACTAGATATGCTTATTGTGTATCTCACACTAATCCATACCGCTTTGCAGATTCCTCCTACGTGCAGTTCTTCGGCGACGACTTCCTGCGCACCCTGATCCTCCGCTTCGTCTTCTGTGATGTGGTGCTGCGCCTGCACCGAGGATTCCGGGGGCGGCACATGAGACCACGTTGTGAGCCGCAGCTGCCGGCGAACGAACTGCTGGAGCACCCCTCGCTGTCGCACATCATCTTTCAGCTGGCCTCGGCCCTGGATGTGCGTGGTCACTTCTCGGAGGGACCGGAATGCGACTGATGACTCTTTGCGGCCGTAGTCGTGGTGGTGGCCGTGGGGATCTGCCTGCGACAGCAGCTGTTCCAGGTGATCGAGAGGCACTTGACCGGATGGATGCTTTCGCTGTACAATACTTTTCCGCTGGCCTGGAACTGGGCCTGAGATTTGGGGCGTCGCTGGCCATGGGTTTCCGTTTCCTTTCGCTGGCAGGGATCCGGCTGCCGGCGTAATTCATTTCAATAACGTAACGCAACGTACTGCATTATAATACGAATATAAATATATAAATACGAGTATAATATACATATAATATATATGCATATATGGATAAAGGTAAATTAATCAAGTAGCTAGTTTTCTTATATAGTGCGTCGCGCAATGGAAATGGTCCAATGTTAGTTGCTTAGCATATATATAATTAATGATAACGATAACGAAGATATACATACGAGAAATCAATGATATTCAGCCGATATCGCAGCAGCAACAAGAACAGCAACCACAAACATGTCAAAAGAACCTAACAAACGATAACTGCCAAAAGATGATGAAATGGAAAAAATGATAAGCCATAAAGCATTTTCACAAATTTATGAAAATCGAAACCGATTATCTAATCAAATTTTGTTTGAGCGGGGTAGCGGGAAATTTTTATGAAAATTGTGAGAGCGCACTTTTTGGATCGCCCGATCGAATCGGGAAAATACATAGGTAACTTTGTCATACGCAGCGGAAACATTTTAGCTTTTATACAACCGATATTGAGAGAAACCTAATCGAATGTGAATTACGACACGACACACTATATAAGAAAGGAGGTGCGTTTTTTATGCATTGTACGCGGCGCTCATAACAAATTGAAATTACGAAACCAGAATATTATTGTACGTATGTAATATTGCATATATGTATCTATTATGATTACAAGATGACTGAAAGTTACTGTTTCAACAAAGGAAAAAACAAGCAAACGAAAAAACGAAAAAACTTAAAAATAAAGGTAAAAGTAAAACAACCAAAAAGAAGGCAAAGTTTAGCAAAAGTAATAATTAATATTAACGTATACATAATGCCCTAGTTAAGTGAAACATGGAAAATATACAAAATATATTTTGCGTATGTTAAAGTAAAATACAAAAAGCCCAACCAACATTTTATACGAAGGAAATGCATACAAAATTTACACTTCAACTAACGAATGAAAATCTGTTCTCGAATCATTTTCCAAAATGCCGCAAAACTCCATTTCGGTTTTCGGTTTTCGATATAAACTGTGAATTGGAACAGGTCACCGTAATAATAAATATTTATGATAACGTATAGTTACAAGTCACACTAACTCTATGGATTTATAGGCAAATGATAAACGCAATATTGAAAGTTACAAAATTATATATATAAAAGGCATATATATTTCAATACGAAAATAAAACTAGTTGAACGCATAGTAAATTACTTGATCATTTTTACAAGACAAGCCGCAAACGAAAATAAGGAAAAATCTTACCAAAAAATTACAAAAAAAAAACCAAAAACAATTTAACAATTACTTTAAATTTATTATTTTCTACGAATAATATGTGCATTTTTATATATTTAAACGAAAGATAACAAATTTTACGCTAGTTACAAACAAATTTTTCTGAAGTCTTCAAGCAGCCGTATTAAAAAAGAAAACTACAAACAAAACGAAAAGAAACGAAAACTAATTTATTCAGCCGAGTTCTTATCAACTTATTCGCTTTGTTAACTAACAAATTGTATAGCTTTTCCACAATTTCGTTTACACTTTTTGTACATATAGGGAAAATACTAAAGGAATCGTTGAAAGAACCAAATTATATCACTCACACTCATTGTACTCTATCATTTTCACTCTTTTTTTTTTTGTACATTTTGAGAACTGCATTTACGAAATAGCGAGAACAAATAAGGTAAATTAAAGCAAGGGGAAGAATTGCAAATAATCAGCAACATTAACCACACTCACACGTAAACAAAGCCCACAAAACGAGAACATCTAAACATTATCATAAACAAATTGTTTAAACGACATGCAAAGTCACAAATGACATACAAATCGAAACCAACATTAAGAAAAGATAACAAATTTAGCAAAGCCACAAGAGAATATTATGAAAATGGAACGGAGAACGAGAAAGTGTATGGGAGTTTGTATGAAGTAATAAGAATAAAGCACACGTTTGAAAAGAGATTCGACTTTTAATCATCTTTTAATCCACATCAACTATTTCAGTCCTCCAGTATTGTAGTTGATCCACTTGAGGAAGGAAGAAACGCGCGTGGAAATGTCGGGCAGCTTCAGCTTACACTCGCCATCAAATCCGTGGGATACGATTCCCACCAGTGTTCTGGTGCTATCGTCCAGAACCATCGGACCTCCGGAGTCGCCGCGACATGGCAGACCCTCCTTGGAATCGATGCAGATTAAAGAGCTGTGCACGGACTTCTTGCCTTTGCCTTTCAGCTGCTTGTTCCACTGCCTCTCGCACTCCTTGTTCGAGATGATGGGCGCCCGGATGTACTGGAGCACCTGGCTGGGCAGTTGCTTGGTGGTCAGACCCCATCCCGAAATGATGGCTTTGCTACCTGTGTATGTCTTCCTAGCACTGGGCAACTTAGCGGGTTGGATATGCTTGTTGAATGTTAGCTTCTTGGGCAATCTAATCAGGGCTATATCGTCCAACGCGGTCCTTCGATCGAATTTCTTGTGGACGATGGTGTGGCTCCGGTTGACCACGATTTCCTTATCATCGAAGTAATTCACCTTACCAACGTGGACCAGCACTTTTGACCTAAGTAGGTGAGAATAATGATTATATAAATCACAGCTGTATGATTACTTACAGATTAGACTTCGGATCCTGCAGACAATGGGCTGCGGTTACAATCCAACGATCGCTGAGGATAGTGCCTCCGCACAGATTGGGCTCATCCATGGATCCTTCGAAGTGGCAGAGTAGTCCAACCTGGTAAGGCAACTGCTTCGCCTTCGCTGCAGTGCCATTCATAATTCGCAGGGAGCCGATATCCTGGCCAAGTCCCAGAGCGAACTGCACGATAAGCACCAACTGGAGCATCATTTCAATTGATTTACAACTCCAAGCCCTTTAACAGCCTTATATATAGCCCTACTCGTGGGTTTCATTGATTGCCACGGTTTTACGATCGCAGCGTGTTCGAACCTCTTTGCATAATCTGTGTTCTTTTGGTTTATTGGTTATAATATTTACGAGTTGCTTGATTAGTCGCATACATGGTACATATTGTATATATGGGCTAGATGGGACTCTCACTCAGTGAGAAACCCCGAACTTGTAGATTACTTCATGCCGGTAGCTATCGCCAGGTCGCAAAATAGTCGAGGGAAAGTTGCTGTGGTTCACGGAGTCGGGAAACTTCTGTGTCTCCAGGCAGAAGGCACCATGCTTGGCATAGGCAGCTCCATCCTTGCCGGGAATGGGCGTCTCACCACGTTCCACATCCGGCATAAAGTTGGAGGTGTAGAACTGCACTCCAGGCTGATTGCTGACCACCTCCAACCAGCGTCCGCTGGGCGGATGTGTGGCTCTGGCCACCTTGACCATTGGTTGTGGTGGAGTGAAGGTCACACAGAAGTTGTCATCGTAGCCGCGAGCTGGTTGTAGCGCCTTGAGGCGTTCTCCCAAATTGCTGGACACACGAAGATCAAATCCTGTGCCCTCCACGGGTGTGATCCCACCGGTAGGAATGGAAGACTGGTCCGTCTCAGTGATCCCATATGCGTTTATCTCGATGTTATGCTCATAGAGACCGTTGGCTCCAGATTTGTGGCCAGCTAGGTTGAAGTAGGAGTGATTGGTGAGATTTACGGGAGTGGTTTTATCTGTCACTGCACTCATCTGGACATGGAGGCAGTTATCCTCGCTGAGTGTAAAGCTTGCTGTGGCTGTCACATTGCCGGGATAGCCCTCATGTCCATCGGGATTGGTGTGGGATAGGGTAACACCATCTCGACACACTTCCACAACTTCCCAGTGAGCCTTATCGAAGCCCACAAAGCCGCCATGGAGCTGGAACTTGTTGTCCCGATTCTTGGACACCTCCACTAGCTTTCCATCCAGATAAAAACTGCCATTGGCAATCCGGTTGCACACCCGTCCAATGGTTGCTCCAAAATACGGATTCCTGTCGCTCTGATAGCCCGCCAAATCATCAAATCCGAGGGTCACGTCATCTATTTGACCGCTGGCATCGGGCGTCTTTATGCTGGTAATGGTGGCTCCCCGGGTGATCAACTGCACGGACATTCCTGCTCCGTTTGACAGGGTGAACCGCTTGATTGTGTCCTTCGACTTGGTGAACGGATTCACCGCTCCATTGGCGAAGACCTCCTCCGTGACGTTTACCATTTTGGCTTCAGCTGCAGTTGTGGAATGATTGCGAGTGCCAATTGCACTGCGTTTTTATCTGACCCTCTCCAAACCGTAAAGGTTAATCAGCACTCCAAGTGCGTATGTGTTTGCATTAATTATCGCAAAAAAAGCCGCAAACAAGGTGTACATATGTACATACGTATGTAAACAGATGTTATCACAGAGTGTTGGGAAAGTCTGCGATAAGGGGTATATACAGCTTGGGGAGTTTTAAGATTTGTGCATTGTCCGTATTCCACAATATTACGTAAATGTAGTGATAAATCAGATTAGTAGTTCTTTAATGTCTTTTTGAATCTCCGTAGATGCGATTCAAATTTTATAGTTGCCATACCTATTTTAGTTCAGCTGTTCTTACATGTGCGTAGTAAATAAACATTTGGAGGGGTTCATTTCCGTAGTTCAAAAACAAAATTTTCAGTTTGTTGTTCTTAGCTTAACAAGCGCTTAAAATAGAAGAACATGTTCAACACACTGGCAACACATTATAAGTATATATTTCGGAAAGGTCCCCCTATTTATATAAAGTGCTGCAGCCTGCACAGATCTGGCAACTCTGCTCTAGAAAATACCACATACCAAATAGTCCACCTCTAAGCAACAGGTCGGTTGTTTATTGAATTCGTTTACTTAAGTTTATGGAAATTTGGCAAATAGAAAGCTAGCTAACCGGTGCAGTTTCCCCTTTCGTTGACAGAGAGCTCAGAGGAAACTGCGGATTGGATCCCCCTGCGTTCATCCCCACCCAGGCACCACTAATCCGACGAGTATAAATCCCAAAATGCGATTGACGTGGCAGAGAAATCAGCTAAATCTTATACTTCCGATTGCTCTGATTTGTTGTTGTCTCCTAATCGACGCAACCAACGCTCAGGAGGCCCAACAACCATGGTACGAGAATCTACCAGCGGTGGCCATGGACTACAAGGTGGGTTCTTTCTGTGGGATTCCCCCAGGGCATCAAATTTCACCGGGAACGTGGTTTCTCTTTCAGGTCCACATAGATGCTGGTAAGGAGGACTGCTACCATCAATATGTCAAGGCGGGAGCCACCTTCTACGTGTCCTTCAGTGTAAGTAGATGGTTGTACTTGGAATGCTTCGGTTCCCGTCGAATCAGTTGCTCATTAATTCAGTTAATAAAGTAGAAAAGTGGGATGAGTTTGGTATAGTTGCATAGAATGTTTTTAATTCTATCATGGAATACGAATTAATCATATGATTTTCTCCAGGTGGTGCGTGGAGGCGATGGAATGGCTGGTTTTGCCGTCCGCAATCCTGCTGGTGAGGTGGTAAAGCCGTACCAGTGGCAGGCAACTGCGGATTACACGGATCAGGTGTCGCCGGGTGGTTACTACTCCGTCTGCATTGACAACCAGTTCTCCCGATTCGCTGGCAAGCTGGTCAACATCTATATCACAGTGGTGAAGTACGATGCCTGGGACAAGTACGCCAAGGAGATCGAACAGCTGCAGCTGAACATGCAAAACTTCACCGTAAGCTAAACTGGTTTTGAGACACACCCGAAAATCCAACAACAAACATTCATATTGATCTATTTCGTTAGGCCACCATTGGCACTGTGGAGCGCAACATCAACGATATGATGGGCTACCAAGCGCACAGCCGGCATCGCGAATCGCGCGATTATGCGTTGCTCCTGGACAACAATAGCTACATTCAAACCTTCTCGATTAGCCAAATTGTGGTCATATTGATCACGTGCTCTATACAGGCGAGTATATTCACGATTTTTGCTTTTCCTTTATCAATAAACTACTATTTTCAGGTCTTCTTCGTGCGCAAACTTTTTGAAGTCAAATCGAGCTCTAAAAGTCGCATCTAAGGCGGAAAGAGACTTTTAACTGACTTCGCAAATTGGTTTAAAAATTCCATACGCATTTCCAAGACATTCATACTTACTGATGAACCCCTTTCGCATTCTTGTAACTTATTTTATCACTGGCTAACTGATCAAGCGCAACTGAGCAGACTCTTTTATAATTGGGACTACTTATGTCTTACGAGTTATAGACAGCAAAACTTATTGTGATAAGTGTACATTTGTGTGTTTTGTTCAATTAAAATATTGAAGATTTTTGTACTTGATTGGTTTTATTTGGGAAATAACTTCATGTACGCCATACGATTTTTTCGAAAGCATTTGGGTTTGTTCGTTTACTAAAAGCTCTACAAGCTTTAAAGTTAAGTTTACTTAACCGTTACATTTCGTGGTCCTGATGGTGATATTATATTAAAAGGATATATATTAAGGACTTGTTTTAAAAAAGCAGAAACAAAATGTTTTAATATAAATAATAAGTAATTTTCTAAATGCAAGACAACTTTTTGTTGCTGAAAAGCAATTTTGAATAATTAATCCACAGCTCATTAGATTAATCTGAGGGCAAAGGACATTTTGAAGACATTCCACGACTTGAGCTGGCAAATTAATCACCCCCATGCCGCTTATCGCAAATTATCCTGCCCCATCCATCGCAGGACCTTAAATCATGTCACCATGCTCGCCGCTTATCTAGACGTCATTTAGCACATGTGTGTGTGTGCTCTGCAGCAGCTGGCTTGTTAATTATATCCTTTTTGGCAGGCAGCAGGCGCATCTGGGTATCTTGGGGCGTCTTTTGTGGCCACTGCTGCTCGAAATTAAAATGTTATTATGCGAGGCTTATCTGCGGGCCTTAAAGCCACCGCAAAACTAAGGTCCTAATGGCCTCGCACACCAGCACACGCTCTTTAACTGTTTTAAACGCCATTGTTAAAATATTGCTCATACGCACTTCCGCCCAAAATGGGGTCTTCTCTCTTCGGCAGCACTAATGATGCCCCAAGAACGCGGCGCAAAGGACCCGGCCAAAGCCAGTAGCATCCACATCCACATCCACATCCCCGATGGCACAGAGTTGGCTCCGCCCACCAGCAGCCGATGACAGCGGCAGATAACAGGGCAGCGGCCAAGTGGGCGGTGGATGGGGATTGCGGTGCGGAGAGCGCGCCTGCGCATCAGCCACCGCAGGAACGCAGGACGATGGGGTGACACATCCCCGCTGATAGCACCCGGTCCCCTGCCATCACAGAGCCACCGCTTGTGGGAGGAGTGTGTCGCCATCTTTGAGCGTGGACTGGTGACTGGACGGGATGATCTGGCCGCCACATTAACTTGGAGTGCGCGCTACCAAGTGCAACACGTCGCGGACGACATAATAGCGGTACTTTGCGGTTTAGATTCGTCGGTCACACGTCGTCAATATTCCCGGGGCAAGGACCAACTAGCGAACCTTTCTTGGTCAGCACAAGCGGCATACAGAGGCACAAAAACCACAAAAAAAACACAGCACACACGGCACACACAACACACACTTACACACTGGGCAAGCAGTGGGGAAAACTTGGACACATACGCCCAGCTTGTTGCTGCCTGTGGGCGTGGCAGCGCACCAAAAAAGAAACCGACAAGGACACACACATGTGTCCTGCCAGTGTGTCGCGGAAATTTTTGTGCGGAAATTATAGAAATTTCGCTTTTTGATTTCATTTTCGTTCCGCTTTCGTTGCGAACCTCTCACTTCCCACCACCCATCGCCCATCGCCCATCGTCCACCGCCCACCGCCCACCTACTGAGCACCTGCACCTGTGCGAAAAGGCATCGAGAAATGCCCAAGGAGCCCGCTGCCGTCGGTGTCCAGTTGGCTTGGTCGTCGTCGTTGTCATCGTCCTTGCAGTGACAAATTTCCTTGCATATCCGCTCCAGGACTACGAAACTTTGGCTGCAAACAAAACCGTCATTTGCGTGGCGCGTCGCTGTCGCGTTCACTTGTCGCATATCCGTCGCCATTTTGACAATAATTTCATTTCCGGTCGCCAATTTGTACGCA